TTTTAGAGAGGTTTTTGCTATAGGGCGTGTGCGCTTGCCAGACAGACAGAGAGAGACAGAGAGACAGAAAGTGAGAGATCACCCCCCAGGGGGGATGGCCACACCGCAATCCCTTCTCCTCCATTCTCCTCTCGGGATCTTGGGCATGCACGCACACGTGCTCGGCATGAGTTTAAGGCACCAAACCGCAGTCGACTACGTGGGAGTCCAGTGACATAGCCATTACGCTAACTGCTGGTCCCAGCAGCAGCTTTCTTGCTCGGCACAGGCTGAGCGTTCTGGTGGATGTGGGGTGGGCCCTGCCCGGCACACTCCTCACAAACAGGGATAAAACTTGCAGATGTCAGTTCCTGGCCGCAGGAGTGACTCCAACCACAGAGGCCTGGAAAGTTTCTGCGGTAGAGAACGCAAGTTGCTCAAGCATCCACAGGTGCTGGGTGGGGAATGGACCTGGGGCAGCTCACAGGACACCAGTGTGTGAGTTGGTCACCAAACAGGCCCAGCCCCACAGCCCATCACAGAGCACGTGGGTGGGTCACCCACAATCACATCAGAGGAGGCGGCTCTCAGGGCAGATGGGCAGGCGAAGGCAGGAGCAGCAGGAAGGGGTGTGCAAAGCAGTTTCTAGTCTGCTTCTATCTGCGTGGGGGGAGGCTGGACAGGGCCACTCGGGCAATAATGGCATGGCCACCTGACAGCAGATGTGAGCTCAGGGGGCTGTCACTCAGCTGTGGTCTCTCCCCTAGTCTTCCGTGGCTGCTCCAGGGACAGAGTGGCCAAGGCAGGGTAGTCGAGCGGTGGACCCAAGCGTGGCAGGTCACGAAGTGGGGTGTGTAGAGAGACCGGCCGCATGGTTATTGCAGTCCTGTCGTCCTTCGTTCTCATCACCACCTCGAGGAAGAACATTTACCCCTCGTCTTGTTGCAAACTCCTCGGGAGAAAATCACACAGCTTGTCTCCTCGGAGTTTGATGTGGCCACGCAGAGCCCCGCGCGAGGAGGCGTCAGCGAGCTCACAGAAAATGCCTGCTATGGAAACAGCGTGGACCTACGTTGCTGAGCCAAGGTAAACTCGTGCTTCAATTTCGCTTTCCACGGACTTTTGAAGTCATCTCCTAGGCAGTGGGTTGAATGGTGACTTCCAAGTGACAGGTCCACGCCCAACTGAAACCCGCGAATCTGAGCTTGATTAGAGCAAAGGCATTTCAGATATGATTGCAGTCCAGGTCGAGACTACCCTGGACCAAAGGCCCGTGTTCTTGTAGACACACAGAGAAAGCACAGAGAGACAGGACCGGCCGTGTGAAGACAGAGGCCAGCAGGGCTCAGGTGGCCTCGGACCAAGGAGCTTCTGGGGCCACCAGATGCTGCGGAGAGGTGGGGAGGGGCCCCCTCCGGTGGAGCCTGGCCCATGTATGTGGAAGGCAGACATCCCTCCAGGGCTGCGGGAGAACACCTTGCTGTGGTTCCTGCCCCTCGGTGGCACTTTGTCCAGCAAGTGCAGGGCACCGGCACACCATACAGTGCATGTGTACCCGAATCCTGCCCACAGACGGGCAGAGACCACCTGGATTCCCACCGGAGCTGGGGGTGGTGACGCGGAGCACACCCCACCTGAGACACCCCAAGTCTCTACCCACGATCACAGCCAGCATCAGTTTTACTGGGGTACCTGACACCCATCAGTGGCACCGTGGGCTCACCAACCTGCCTGGGCTCTGAACACACTGGCTTTGCAGTCCGAGCTTGCTACCACCACCCGCTGG